GCATCGTCAGCAGCATCATCAGTGGCATCATCATCATCATCATCATCATCATCATCATCATCATCAATCATCATCATCATCATCAGCAGCAGCAGCATGACCATCAGCAGCAGCAGCCATTTCATCAACAGCATAAGCATCATCAGCATCATCAGCAGCATCAGCATCATCAGCACCAACATCAGCATCATAGTCATCATCAGCAGCAGCACCATCATCCTCATCATCAGAACCATCATCATCAGCATAATCAGCATCATCAGTACCATCGTCGACGTCCTCAGCAGCAACATCATCATTCGCAACAGAATCCGCATCATCATCAGCATCAACAACATCAGCATCATCAGCAGCATCATCAGTACCATCATCATCATCATCATCATCATAGTCATAATCATCATCATCACCATCATCACCATCATCACCATCATCATCACCATCATCATCATCAACATCGTCATCATCATCGTCATAATCGTCATAATCGTCTTCAGCATCTTCTTCTTCATCATTATCATCATCATCCTCATCTTCGTCCTCATCCTCATTCGCCTCCTCATCGTCCACCTCCTCCTCCGCCCAGTCCTGCTCCTCCTTCTCCGCCTCCTCTTCCTCCTCCTCCTCCTCAGCCTCCACTCCCGCCATCCTCATCCTCCTCCTGCTCATCCTCCTCCCCCATCATCATCCGCAGCAGCATCATCAGCATCCTCATCAGCATCAGCATCATCATCATCAGCAGCATCATCATCATCATCATCATCATCATCATCATCATCATCATCGTCATCGTCATCAGCATCATCATCGTCAGCAGCACCCTCAGTATCATCATCAGCAGCATCAGCATCATCATCAGCAGTATAATCATCATCAGCACCACCACAACCACCACCACCACCACCACCATCATCATCATCATCATCATCATCATCATCAGCAGCAGCAGCAGCAGCATAATCAGCAGCATAAGCATCAGCAGCAGCAGCATCAGCGAAATTCCTCGTCGTCGTCGTCGTCGTCACCACCACCACCACCACCACCACCACCATCATCATCATCATCATCATCATCATCAGTATCATCATCAGCAGCATCAGCATCATCATCATCATCATCATCATCATCAGCATCATCATCATACGTATCAGCATCAGCATCATCATCAGCCTCATAATCAACATGATCAGCATCGTCATCATCATCGTGAGCATCATCAGCATCAGCAGTATCATTATACGCATCAACATCCTCATCAGTCCCAGTCGTAGCATCATCATCCGCAGCATTGTCAGCATCATCATCAGCATCAGCATCAGCATCAGCATCATCTGCATCATGTTCATCGGCTTCATCATCTTGATCATCATCATCATCAGCATCATCAGCATCGTCAGTATCAGCATCATAATGATCAGCAGCATCACCATCATCATCATAGTCGTCATCATCATCGGTACTATCATCAGATCATCACCGTCCTCGTCATTATCAGCAGCACCCTCATCAGCATCATCATCTTCATCATCATCACAATCCCTGATATTCCTCCTCATCCTCCTCCGCATCAGAATCATCATCACCACCACCAGCATCATCATCATCAGCAGCAACATCAACAGCATCATCATCATCATCCCTGCTCCTTCTCATCCGCATCCTCTTCCTCCTTCTGTCTTTCCTTCTCCTCATCCCCGCCCCCATCTCCCATTCACGAACTCCGACTCCACCTCCTGCTCCGACTCATTCTCCTCCACTGCCTCATCCGCATCCGCCGCACTCTCCGCCTCCTCCTCATCCTCTTCCTCCTCATCCTCCGCTGTCTCCTCCGCCTCCCCGTCCCCTTCCGACTCCTCCTCCTCCGCTTCCTTCCCCAGCCTCCTCCTCCTCCTCCTCAGCCTCCTCAGCCTCCTCAGCCTCCTCAGCCGCCTCCTCCACATCCTCCTCCTCCTCAGTATCCTCCTCCTCTTCCTCCTCATCGTCAGCATCCGTATCGTCCTACCTCCTCCTCCTCATCTTCCTCAGCCTCCTCAGCTTCCTCCTCCTCATCCTCATCCTCCTCATCCTCCTCCTCCTTCGCATCGTCCTCCTCGTCCTCCTCCTCCTCCTCATCATCATCACCATCATCATCAGCATCATCACCACCACCATCATCATCAGCAGCAACTGCAGCAGCATCACCACCCTTCATCATCATCATGACCACCACAACAACGACAAGCATCATCATCAGCATCATCAGCATCAGCATCATCACCAGCATTACCATCATCAGCATCATCATCAGCATCAGCATCATCATCAGCATCAGCATCAGCTGCACCATCATCAGCATCGTTATCAACAGTATCACGATAATCGTTATCATCATCAGCATCCGCATCATCGTCATCAACATGAAAAGCAATATCATCATCGTCAGCTTCATCGTCAGAACAAAGTTACAATGGATAATGACTGAATAAAAATTGAACCATGATGGCAACAATACTGAATGATAGCAGTAATGATGATGAGGATAATAATAATGGAAATACGAATAATCAGCATCATCGTCATCAGCAGCAGCAGCATCATCATAAACATTGGCATCAGCATCAGCAGCAGCAGCATCATCATCATCACCATCATCATCAGTATCAGCATCATCAACATCACCGTCACCATCGTCCGCAGCATCAGCATTATCATCCTGATCACTATCATCATTATCATCAGCACCAGCATCAGCAGCAGGGTCATCAGCATCGTGATCATCATCATCAACCTCATCAGCAGCATCATCAGATTCATCAGCATTATCATGAATAGCATCAGCATCGTCATCAGCATCATCATCATCATCATCAGCATAAGCATGATCATCCTCTTCATGTTCAGCATCATCAGCAGCCTAAGCATCGTCATCATCAGCATCATCATCCTCATCATCATCATCATCAGCATCATCACGAGCATCACCATAAGCATCAGCATCATAATCATCGTCCTTCGCATCCTCATCATCGTCGGAATCAGCATCATCATCGTCATAATCAGCATCGTCATCAGCAGCATCATCATCATAATCAGCATCACCAACATCATCATCAGCATCAGCATCAGCAGCATCATCATCATCATCATCATCCTCATCATCATCATCATCATCATCATCATCATCATCATCATCATCATCATAGTCCGTGTCCTCTTAATCATCCCCTTCGTCGTCCTCCGCCTCATCGTCTTCTCCCTCCTCTCCCTCCTTATCATCACTCCTCTCCCCATCCGTCTCCATATTCTACGCATAATCATTAGCCTACTCATCCTCCTCCTCCGACTCCTCCTCATCCTCCTCATAAACAACAGCATAATCACCATCACCAGCAGAATCGACATCAACATCATCAGCATCATCATCAGCATCATCATTGTCGTCATCGTCGTCATCATCATCATAATCATCGTCATCGTCATCGTCATCATCATCACCACGAGCATCACATCATCATCGACAACAGCAGCATCATCATCAGCATCGTCATCATCATCATCATCATCATCAAAATCAGAATCATCATCATCAGAATCATCGTCATTACCATCGTAGTCGTCGTCATCGTCGTCCACATCGGTGTCATCATCGTCATCACCAGCATCATCGCCTGCATCATCAGCAGCAGCATCGTCATCACCATCATCATCATCATCAGCATCATCATCATCATGAGCAGCATCAGCATCATCGTCAGCATCGTCATCAGCAGCAACATCATCAGCAGCAGCGGCAACAGCAGCATCGTCAGCAGCAGCAGCACCATCACCATCCTCAGCATCGGCAGCATCATCATCAGCATCAGCATCATTATCATAATCATCGACATCGGCGTCGGCATCAGCAGCAGCATCATCATCATGCTCAGCAGCATGATCATCATCATCAGCATCAACATCAGCATAATCATCACCATCAGCATCGGAATCATCATCATCATAATCAGTATCATCATCAGCAGCATCGTCGTCGCCGTCACCAAGCGTTCGCATCATCACCATCATCAACATCATCAGCACCATCAGCAACAGCAACATCCTCAGCATCATCGTCATCAGCATAAGCAGTATCGTCATCATCATCATCATCATCATCATCATCGAGAGCATCAGCATCATCACCAGCATCAGCAACATCGTCGTCGTCATCGTCACCAACGTCCCAGCATCATGGTCACCATCATCATCAGCGGAAGCATGAGCAGCATTATAAGACTCATCATCAGCATCATCATCGTCGTCATAGTCGCTATCATAATATGCAACATCGTAATCGGCATCAGCAGCAGCATCATCACCAGCTTCATCATCATAATTAGCATAGGCATCATCAGCAGCATCATTTTCACCAGCATCATCATAATCGGCATCGGCATGACAAGCATCATCAACATCATCATCATCATCATCAACATCATTATCATCATCATGATCATCATCATCATCATCATCATCATCATCATCATCAGCATCATAATCATAATCATCATAATCATCATCATCACCGTCATCAGTACCGTCATCATCCTGATCGTCATCCTCCTCCGCCTCCTCCTCGCGGCCTCCTCCTCATCCTCCACCTCCAACTCCGCATCCTCCTCCTCCTCCTCTTCCTCCGCATCGTCCGCCTCCTCCTCCTCCTCCTCCCCCTCCTGGTCCTCCTCATCCTCCTCCTCCTCCCTACCGCGCAGACGGAGAAGATGTCAAGATCACGACACTCCCTTGCTCAGACCACTCGCTGAAGTGCTGCGGGGTGTGAACTCGGCCTCGCGGGCGAAGACGAGGTCGAGTTTACGACCCGTCCTGATCAAACCATTCGTTGTCCTAAACTAAATCTCCATTCTACTGCGCGGTTGCACAGGCATGGTGGCGAGGGTTGCCGCGGGAAGCTGGACAGCGGCAAGAAACTGTATGGTCAGCAATACAATATGCTTGTTGTGTTGCTGCCATCCTTCCCATCCCACCATGATGTCGAGCGAGACCGTAAAAACTTCAACGGAGGGTAAAACGATCGGGGCCTCTCGAACGCACCAATCCTGAGCCAAGTGAGCACATGAATAATGACCAAGACACGTCTGCAAATAACAATACGCGCAGTCATGATTCAGTCGCACTTGCATGGCACATCGCCCGCTTCCATCGAAGAGCGTCACACGCTGTTGTCTTGCAGTCCCTCTCTTCATCTACCCTTTGCATCTCGCATCCCATATGTCCCACACGCTTCGACACGTGCCGCGTGAATCTTGCAAGCTGACCTGTCCCGCACTGATGCGCGACTGTCTGGCGGGCGCTTGCACCGATGTTCTGGACGTCTCGTGGGAGTGTCAACTTTCACTCAGAATCTTCACGGGTCTTGCTAACGCGCACTCCACTACGCGTCTGTGCGCGCGTCGATACACCACATCATACAGCTTGAGACGTGAGAGGGTGGGTGCGTGCGCACAATTAAGAGCAAGCGCCTGCTAGACTTACTGTACAAGCATTTGTTTACAACCCCTTGGACATACTCTATGCGCAAATTAACATTCTGCCTCGCAGGAGATCACCCGAGCACGGGCATGCACGCGATACGAAGTAGTCAAAGACAATCAAAGGATACCAAGCCCGAACCATATTTTTGTGCTCGAATGGGGGCGGATGGGAAAAATTACGCTACCGGAGTTCCCCACACAAGGACGTGAAGACTTCAGCGGGATCGACGGACAACAAAAAGACCTGAGGGGTGGGGGGCACGAAACCTCGTGAATAGTATGGTGTGCGAATAACCCTGCTGTCTGGCGGGGCCTCCCTAGATGGGTGGGACGGGCACGAAACCGTGTAAACGGTATGGTGTGCGAATACCCTGCTTGCTCTGGCGGGGCCTCCCTGAGGGGGTGGGGGGTAGGCACGAAACCTTGTAAATAGCATGGTGTGCGAATACTCTGCTCGCTCCGGCAGGCCCGCCCTGGACGGGTAAGACGGGCACGAAACTTCGTAAATCCGCCGACACTGTCGGCGTGTGGAAGACGTTCTTCCGTTGGTCGCCGTCGTCGTCGTCGTGTCGTCTCCTTCGTCTCGTCGTCTCCGTCGTCGTCTTCGTCTCCGTCGTCCCCTGGTCGTCTCCGTGAATCCTCGTCTCCGTCGTCCCCCGTCTCCTTTCCCTGGGTCCTCCTCCTTACGCGCGTCAGCCAAAGCGATATTGAGCAACGTCGTAGCTGAGTCGAAAAGAGACCGGTTCCCTTTGATCCCTTCTCCGCCTGGGGGGGTCCTCGGAAGGGTCCTGGGAGCTGGGTCCCAGAGTGGGTCTGGGGGGGTGGGTCGCAACTCTGATACACCTCCCTCCCGCGCGGTTCTGGGGCCCAGGAAAGCCCCAAGACGCGGCAAGTGTGTGCATAGAAGCCCCCAAGAACGTCCTCGAAGGCTCCGAATCACCGAACTATCGGTCCAAGACGTTAAAGTAGCCTCCAGACGGCCAAAGAGGTTCTCAAAACGCCCCAAAAGGCCTCCAAGAGCGCCCCAAAAGGCGCCAATGGGAAAAATTCACCGATTGTCCCCCAGAAAATGAAAGATTTTGGCGTTCCCGCCTTGTCGGCTTCCCGACGCTCCAAGACAGCTCAAGAGGCCCCCCAGATCGCCCAGGGGGCCTCCAAGAGGGCCACAAAACGACCCAACAGGGCCCCAAGACCGCCCAAAAGACCTCCAAGACAGCCCAGGCGGCACCAACGGGTGACTTGTGAAGAAACACTTTTTTGATCTGCAGGGCGAGAGCGAACCTCTTCCGCTGAAAGCTAAGCGGGACGCGCAAAGCTTTAATTACCAGAGACAGGGCGGAAGAAGGCGGGGCGCTTGTGAGGAAACACGCAGCGTAGACTGTGTCCAACCATGCCCTGAAATCGCCTAGCCCAAACGAGCCTGGGCGGCCATCGAAGGAGACATGACAGAGGAAGTTGGGCGTTTTGCCGACTGAATTCTCATACAAAATCGAGCACCACGCCAAACAATAAGAGGAGCTAGCTGTCGGAACGTGCCGAATCAAGACTATCAATGCTTGCCCCCTTTTTTCTTGACGTCACGCTGCCTTCGGCGCCGCCAGACCGAGAACCCAATACCACACTAACGACGGCAGCGTTCGACGGCGACCTTCTAACACTAACAGGTCTAGCGTTCGACCCTGAGCACCACGAACAACAGAACACTCTCCGAAAACAGACCCTCACGAAAGTCAAAGACGCAGAGGGGCAAGGGAGGAGAGAACTGACGCATACAGCAAATTCGCGCAAAAGGCTTCAGCAATGCACCTTGGCGCATGGAGGCAACTAAGCAGCTCGCACCTCCATCCAATAGCTGGAAGGGGATGGAGGAGAAAGACGACAACAGGAGGGCAGAAAGAAGAGGCAGGCAAATGCCACAGAAGTAGCGGGCGACGCACCCAATCGCAAACGCATTTCCATGGCATCTGAAAGCGGAACCGCCGCACACAAAGACGGTCATGTCGAGAGCTCAAACGGCCGACATTCCGCCGATCCCTTCGGCGCTACAGGCGCAGGCGGCGGTAAAATCCCACATGTTCGCCAACTTGGACCAGATGGACCCAAGGGCGCCGAGAAGATCCCAGGCCTCACGTCACGCAAGGAAGTCTGCAATACACCCAAAGGTCCCCGAGACGCACCATTAGGGTCCCGATAGAGACCCAAAGGGGGCATCCGAAAGCAAACTCAACTGATGCAGCAGGTGAGTTCTACACACTCCCCATGATACACAATCCCATGAACAACCCTCTCGCGGCAATTCCGGCCGTGAGACCATTCGCACTGGCACAAAAACTACTAGCAACGCCGTGAAAGAAAGACGAATTAAGAGGAGCCGCGGAGAAACGGGCGAAGCGGAAGCATCGACTCCTATGCAAGAGGCTGACGGGGGCCAGCGAAACCCTGGCCAGTACCCACAAGAGCCTCTAGCGGGGACCCAGCGCGCCACTGCGACAGAAAAGGTTGCATTTACAACAAAAAATTGAAAAGCCAGCCGAACAAAACAAAAGCGGAGGACGCCCAAAGACGCCCCACGAGGACCCATGGACCACAAACAGACAAAAAAAAAACGCCTCCAACATATGTCCTGGGGTTTTCCGCGTGCCCCCCAGGCAGGCCCGCCGCGCACTTCCGTCAGGCCCCCCAAGCATTCCCAACACACGCTTTCAACGTACCAGCGCGGCAAAGGCAGAGCGCGCGCGCGCCCAAGCAAGCTGGGCAACTGCATTGCGAATTGCCCAGAACGCAAGAGGGGAGGAAAAGAAGAAGGCCGGCCGCGGAAAGGGGGGCGGAAAGGGAGCAGGCGCACTCACGCGGCGAGGCCGCAGCGGGGCGCGGGGGCCGCGGAGCCAGCGCAGAAGCCCCTGGCGCCGGCACGGGGCGGCATCACAAACGCACCCATGGGTGGGCACAGCGGCTGCAGCGCAGGCTCGGAGCCCGTGAAATCGGAAGGGTGGAGGCCTGAGCAGCAGCGATGACGGCGGCCCCAGCAAGCCGGGAGGGGGGCGGGCGCGGCTGCCTGGCGGGCTGCGCAAGCAAACCGCAGCGGCGGGCCGGGGGCCGCAGTGGCTCGCCGGGCTTCGCGAAGCATCGCTAGCAAAGGCGGGGCGCGTTCGCAGCGCAGGCCGAGCGGGCGGCCCAGGGGAAGAAGCGGGCGAAGACACAGGGCGCGGCCAGGACGGTCGACGGGGAGCCGCGGGATCTGGGCGGCCACGGGGGCGGCGCGCGGGAGCCGCGCAAAAGGCCGCGCGCAGGCAGGGCGGCGGGGGGGCGGGAGCCAGCAGAGCCAGGCCCAGACCGGCGCACGCATCACAGCCGCGGCGGGGCGGCGCCCAGCCGAAGTGGGCGGCTCGGCCCGCGCGGTGGCGCGCGCGCCAGACAGGGCCCGGGGAGTCGGGGCCTCCGGCAACACGCGCGGGAGGCGCGCGAACGAACCCGCGGAAAAACGACAGGCGCACCACTTGGCGCGGATGGGGTGCCCCTCCCAGATGGGGGCCAGAAGCACCTAACCAGCGCACGAACAAACCGAGCGAAACGCCGGGGCGATCATCAGCGGCAGCAAGAGAGAGGCGCGCCACCCGAAGTGAACGGCGCGCCCGAGAGGCGGGGGCGCGCGCGCCACCTGCCGGGGTGGATGGCGCGCGCACGAGCAAGCGCATCAAAACCGCCCGCGGCGACGATCCGCGGGATTCACCTGGGGCGGCCATTCCGCCCGAAAGCGCCACAGTCCTCGCTTGCACACCAGGGCTGCCGCGCCCAAGGCCACGCCGCCCATCTCCAGGCACGGACCACACAGCAGGTGGATGCGGGTTACCAAATGTCACTGCACAATTACACAATATGAAAATACTCCCCCACTTCCCCTGATGGCGTCCCGAAGATATCCGACACCCCCCCGCGTATTGTTTTTTACACACAGGATTCCCGGGAAACGGGTTTTCGCTTGTGTTTTTTGTTTTTCAAAATGCTGCTCTCGCTGAGGCGCCGGCCTCATTTCTGCTCCCGAATCGTTCCGAATCGTGCTCCCGCTGCAGCGTGGGCCTTATTTTCGGATCGGTGTTTGGCCTACGTCGTTCAGGATTGCGTTCTCGCCCCAGCGCGGGCCGCTTTCTCGCGCGCCCATCCGCCCGCCACCACCGCGCCGCGCCACCACCACCGCCACCACCACCACCACCACCACCACCACCAGCACCACCACCACCACCACCACCAGCACCACCACCACCACCACAACCACCACCACCACCACCACCACCACCACCACCACCACCAACCACACACGCACGCACGCACGCACGCACGCACGCACGCGCACCACCACCCACTACGCACGCGCGCGCGGAGCCACAAGTCCGCTACGACACGCGTCCGCGGATAGAGAAAATCAGCGCCATGGTAAGGGATGGGAGGGAGGGGTAGGACGTCAGATATGACGCGAGCGCACCTAGCTTGCCCCCCCCCCCTCCCAATTTCCCCCCCCCGCCCATCCTCGCCCCCCCCCCCCCCCCCTCCCTCCCCACCCCCTGTCCCCTCCCCTC